GGTGGGGGGGGGGTGGGGGGTGGGAGGGAGGGGGGGAGGGAGGGATGGAGGGATGGAGGAATGGAGGTGGGATGGAGGGAGGGTGGTGGGATGGAGGGATGGAGGGAGGGTGGGATAGAGGGATGGTGGGATAGAGGGATGGAGGGATGGAGGGAGGAGAGAGGGAGGGGTGGAAGGTGGGGAGGATGGAGGGACAGAGGGATGGAGAGATGGAGGGATGGAGGCATGGAGGGACAGAGGGAGGACGGATGGTGGGATGGAGCGATAAAGGGATGGAGGGAAGAGGGATGGAAGGACAGAGAGATGGAGGGATGGAACATTGGAGGGATGGAGCAATGGAGAGATGGAGGGAGGATGGTGGGATGGAGGGATGGTGGGATGAAGGGACAGAGGGATGATGGGATGGAGCGATAGAGGGATGGAGGGAAGAGGGATTGAAGGACAGAGCGATGGAGGGATGGAACATTGGAGGGATGGAGCGATGGAGCGATGGAGGGAGGATGGTGGGATGGAGGGAAGAGGGATGGTGGGATGGAAGAATGGAGGATTTGAAGGAAGGAGTGATGGAGGGATGGATGGAAGGAAGGAAGGAAGGATGGAGGGTGGGCAAGGCGGAGAGAAGGAGGGCAGGAGGGTAAAAGGAATGGAGACAAGGAGGGATGGAGGGATGGAGAGATGATGGGATGGTGAGATGGAGGGATGGAGAGATGGTGGGACAGAGAGATGGTGGGATGGTGAGATGGAGGGATGGAGGAGGGACGGAGGGTGGTGAGATGGAGGGATGGAAGAATGGATGATTTGAAGGAAGGAGGGATGGAGGAATGGAGGGAAGGAAGGAAGGATGAAGGGTGGGCAAGATGGAGAAAAGGAGGGCAGGAGGGTAAAAGGAATGGAGAGAAGGAGGCATGAAGGGATGGAGGAATGGAGGGAAGAGGGATGAAACAATGGAGGATTTGAAGGAAGGAGGGATGGAGGGATGGAGGATGAGCAAGATGGAGAGAAGGAGGGAAGGAGAGTAAAAGAATGGAGGAAAGGAGATATGGAGGGATGGATTGTTGGAGGGATGGAGGGGTGGAGCAATGGAGGGATGGAGCAATGGAGCGATGGAGGGACGGAGCGATGGTGGGACGGAGGGATGGAGGGATGGCAGGACAGAACATTGGAGGGATGGAGAGATGGAAGGATGGAGAGGTGGAAGGATGCAGGGAAGAGGGACGGAGGGATGGTGGGATGAAGGAATGGAGGGATGGCTGGAGGGCTGGAGGGAAGAAGGGCTGGCAGGGTGGAGAGTAGGAGGGCAGGAGGGATGGAGACACGGAGAGATGGAGAGATGGAGAATTGGAGGGATGGTTGGAGGGTGGTAGAATGGAGAGATGGAGGGATGGAACATTGGAGGGATGGAGAGATGGATGGAAGGAGGGATGGCAGGATGGAGGAAGGATGGAGGGTGGGCAAGATATGAAGGGATGAAGGGATGGAAGGAAGGAACATTGGAGGGATGAAGAGATGGAGGGATGAAGGGATGAAGGGATGGAAGGATGGAGGGATGGAGGAAAGGAACATTGGAGGGATGGAGAGATGGAGGGATGAAGGGATGGAGGGATGGAGGGAAGGGACATTGGAGAGATGGAGGGATGAAGGGATGAAGGGATGGAAGGAAGGAACATTGGAGGGATGAAGAGATGGAGGGATGAAGGGATGAAGGGATGGAAGGATGGAGGGATGGAGGAAAGGAACATTGGAGGGATGGAGAGATGGAGGGATGAAGGGATGGAGGGATGGAGGGAAGGGACATTGGAGAGATGGAGGGATGAAGGGATGAAGGGATGGAAGGAAGGAACATTGGAGGGATGAAGAGATGGAGGGATGAAGGGATGAAGGGATGGAAGGATGGAGGGATGGAGGGATGGAGAGATGGAGGGATGAAGGAACGGAGGGATGGAGGGAAGGAACATTGGAGAGATGGAGGGATGAAGGGATGAAGTGATGGAGGGATGGAGGGATGGAGGGATGGAGGGAAGGAACATTGGAGGGATGGAGGGAAGGAACATTGGAGGGATGGAGGGATGGAGTGATGGAGGGGTGGAGATATGGAGGGATGGAGTGATGGCAGGACCCAGGACAGGGAGACCCAGGGACAGATGGGTGATGGGGACACCCAGAGACACCAGGAAAATGGGGACACCCCGGGACAGGGAGACCCAGGGACAGATGGGTGATGGGGACACCCAGAGACACCAGGAAAATGGGGACACCCCGGGACAGGGAGACCCAGGGACAGATGGGTGATGGGGACACCCAGAGACACCAGGAAAATGGGGACACCCCGGGACAGGGAGACCCAGGGACAGATGGGTGATGGGGACACCCAGAGACACCAGGAAAATGGGGACACCCCGGGACAGGGAGACCCAGGGACAGATGGGTGATGGGGACACCCAGAGACACCAGGAAAATGGGGACACCCCGGGACAGGGAGACCCAGGGACAGATGGGTGATGGGGACACCCAGAGACACCAGGAAAATGGGGACACCCTGGGACAGGGAGACCCAGGGACAGATGGGTGATGGGGACACCCAGAGACACCAGGAAAATGGGGACACCCTGGGACAGGGAGACCCAGGGACAGCCGGGTGATGGGGACATCCAGAAAATGCGGACACCCCGGGACAGCCGGGTGGCAGGGACACCCAGGTGACAAGGAGACCCAGGGACACATGGATGATGGGGACACCCAGGGACACCCAGAAAATGGGGACACCCAGGTGACAGGGAGACCCAGGGACACATGGATGATGGGGACACCCAGGGACACCCGGAAAATAGGGACACCCAGGAGACAGGGAGACCCAGGGACAGCCGGGTGACAGGGACACCCAGAAAATGGGGACACCCCGGGACACTCGGGTGATGGGGACACCCAGGGACACCCAGAAAATGGGGACACCCAGGTGACAGGGAGACCCAGGGACACATGGATGATGGGGACACCCAGGGACACTTGGAAAATGGGGACACTCTGGGACAGCTGGGTGACAAGGACACCCAGGGACAAGGAGACCCAGGGACAGCTGGGTGATGGGGACACCCCGGGACACACAGATGGTGGGGACACCCAGGGAAACCTGGAACATGGGGACACCCAGATGATGGGGACACCCAGGGACACCCAGGCAATGGGACACCTGGGGACACGCAGGGAGGCCGAGGCGATGGGGACACCCTGAGGTGCCCAAGCACACCTGGGGACGTTGCCATCCAGGGACACTGGGTACATCCCAGGTGCCCAAGGATATCTGGAGACTGGGGACATCCCAAGGACACTGGGGACATTCTGGAGACACCCAGGTGATGGGGACACCCCGGGTACCCAAGGACATCTGGGGACACCTGGGGATATCCCAAGGACACTGGGGACATCCTGGGTGCCCAAGAACATCTGTGGACACCTGGGGACATCCCAAGGACACTGGAGACATCCTGGGGACACCCTGGGTGCCCATCGACATCTGGGGATGCCTGGGGACACTAGAGGACCGGTGCCATCCAGGGACACTGGGGACATCCC